ATTTAGGTAGCAATAACAGAAATATGTCGTATTGTAATGTTATATCACACCAGCTACCAATCAACAGATTATGCTTTGACAACTTAGGCATAACTTTGAGGTAGCAATAACAGAAATATGTCGTATTGTAATGTTATATCACACCAGCTACCAATCAACAGATTATGCTTTGACAGTTTAGGCATAACATTTAGGTAGCAATAACAGAAATATGTCATACTGTAATGTTATATCACACAAGCTACCAATCAACAGATTATGCTTTCACAGGCATAACTTTGAGGTAGCAATAACAGAAATATGTCATATTGTAATGTTATATCACACAAGCTACCAATCAACAGATTATGCTTTCACAGGCATAAACTTTGAGGTAGCAATAACAGAAATATGTCATACTGTAATGTTATATCACACCAGCTACCAATCAACAGATTATGCTTTGACAGTCTAGGCATAACTTTGAGGTAGCAATAACAGAAATATGTCATATTGTAATGTTATATCACACAAGCTACCAATCAACAGATTATGCTTTCACAGGCATAACACTGAGGTAGCAGTTTATATTTTATTTTTTGTTATGGTTTTTTATCATTAGTCATGTGAAACTTAATCTGGTGGTCTGGCAAGCAAATAAAATGATTATGATTTTAAGTTGTTATGGTTTTTTATCATTAGTCATGTGAAACTTAATCTGGGGGTCTGGCAATGGTTTTTTATCATTAGTCATGTGAAACTTAATCTGGGGGTTTGGCAAGCAAATAAAATGATCATGATTTTAAGTTATGCACAATTAGTAAAAGGAGTTATACTAGACATATGTACGATATATTTGTTGATTATTAATTGATAGTTTATTGCAGCTATTTGCTTGATCATTATTTGAGATATGTTTCAGATGTGTTTAACATTATTCTTTTGCCTACTCTCTTGAATTAGCTTCTTTTATTTTTTTTTACTTCTTTATTCCTAACTCTTTATTATTTTGATTCGATATTGACAATGTTGCTTCTCTGAACTATTGTTTTAGAATTTGAAATATTTAGTTACAAAGTCTTGGTCAGGCACAGATTTATTAATCACTGATTTCTAAGATTGGTAAAACTTGTATTGTTCGTTATAAACTTGTAACTGGTTATCTCACCTTGATATTAGCATGATAAATTACATGATACATTACAATGATAACATGTTGTTTGTTATAACACAGTTCAAGATTTGTTGTAATTATTTAAATAGCATTTCAACTGAGTATTTTTGAGTGTGATAACCAAGTTGACTTCACGAGCTCTGATAGTGAGTGAAATGTCATGTCAGCATTGTCTCTTGAAATGCTATTACAGTTTCTCCTTATCGGAAACCACTGTGTGACCAGTAAAGAAAGGTGTGATTAAAATTATCATCAATCTTATTGTAATGTTGTATCGCATCAACTATCAATCAAAATATTTTTATTTGAAACATAGATACAATGTTATCAGTTAATAATGGCTGGAGATGGCTTGAATGGGTAATGAAGAAAATTTTAATATAAGTTTAACATAACAGCAAATGTACAACATTTCGACAAGGTTTTGTCATCATCAGGTACCCAAGCTAGTTGGTGGTCTAATTTCTGTTTGAGTTTTTGTAAGTAGTTCAGTTCTTGATATTTGGAATTCAGGGTTGCTTTTAGGAGTTTTTTCTGCATGTTTTGGATAATACCTGAAAACTGGTTTAAGTTTTTTGATAACTTGACCTTCACA